GTCAACAAAGCATCCAGACTACTGCCATGTTTCTGAAAGAAACGGTTGGTATAGAAACAGAAACATATATATATATATACGCATACAATGCATGCTGCATGCATACAGTCAGACATACCGACAGTACATGGTTCCCCTTTTCAAGACACCTACAGGGCTTCTACCATTCAACAATAAATTTACCTTCCATTCCAAGAAGGAGACCAGCGACCTCGCAGGCCTGACGAGAAGTGGGGCGAGACCCCGGTGGCCTGGATCGTCTGCCGAGATGGCCAAACACTCACAGATGAGGCATGTGGCTGCTCTGCACCGGAGCTCATGGCGTCCATTGATGAATTGTGTTGAGAGATAGAGGTCGGCAAGCTTGAGGAGTTCGTATGTCTCAAGTTTTGTGGGGAGTGATGATGTCCCAACGTCTTTGGAGTCCTTGGTCTTCCCCGAAGCGGTGTTTGAAGTCAGACCGGTATAGCTGACGCATAGGTACTGCCCATCAGTGAGATCCTGATTTGGGATTCAACTACCACCACTGGCGGGTGGAAGTTTGCAGACTCTTGGTGTGAGGTAGCATCAGGAACGCACATCTATACAGGGCCATAATTCATGAAATTCTCGGGCGTCAAAGCCAACTGTGAGCCACCACTCCCGTTCGGCTCAAAGTAGACAGGGCGACTGGAGCCGAACTTGTCACTTTTCGCTGCAGGAGATGTACAATTGGTGCAAAGATCACAGAATTTTGGCTACATGAGTGGGACTTGGCCCCAAACTTTGTTGAGGACCTTTTAGAGTGGGGATTGGGTAGCAGGTTCCATTTCCAGCATTCTAACCGGGTATACTGCATGGTGGAGCGATTCTTCCACCATTGGGAATCTATCGACACAGAAAGAACAACTGTTTGGCCTCGCCAATCAGCTCCCATGCACACAAGTTGTTTCTCCTAGACATTCTTGAGCAATTGGCCCATGGATTTTGAGCAGCAGGGAGATCCTTCAGAGGTGAATTAGATAGTGGGCACAGAGTATAGCCGTCTATAATGGTCTATAGCAGTGCTTGGCCTCCCCACAAGGACCCTGTCTAATCCAAGTACTCTCCAAAAGGGCCATGTCCATCCCCCAACAGAGAGCAAGCGAGATGTCATCAGCCTCTTCTCAGAGTCTCAGAGTGTTTTTTTTCTGTTTCTCGAAGATTCTCAGAGTGGGTGTTTCGTGGGAAATGCGGAGAACCTGAAGATCATGGAAGAGATGGATAGCAAAATGCGGACTGATCACTGATCACAACCGTCTCTTCCCACGTCGGGCCTCTGACTTCCAACTGCTTTAGCTAAGGGTTTGTTTGGCAGATTGACTAGTGTTGAGTTGGTAAATCATGATGTTTGTTTGTTACCCTTGTTTCATTCCCGAACACTCTTTCAATCTGACATGAACATTGATTCAAGTGCGTTCATCGTGTTCCATTTTTAAACGGGACAGGCTGTTGCACTCTTGAGATTGCAGAACTTGAGCGGTCCCGCTTGCATGCTCATTTGCATCCTAGTGGCGCGCTATATGGTGCCGCGGACCTTCGTGTTTGAGAGCCTCGAGGGCGTCAAGACGCTTGACGTAGACATCAGGGTGTTCGTTGGAAGCACGACATTGGGATGCAGGGCGCTTTTGGTACAGTCAACAATGATGTGGACATGAGCAGCATGTTTGAATGTTGTTTGTTGGCATTCCTTGGGCTGTACAGTGTGCCGGGAACCAAACACATCCAAACACTTTACATTTGATCATCAACAGCTTCCGTGTTTGTCAGGATTCAGGAAAGAGTGACATGATGCCATGCAAGTTGTTGAGGGCATTTGGCACTGTGATGGCGCTTCACATAACGCATTTAGCCCATCGTGGCTGAGGAAGACATCTCTCAGTGGTAGGATCCATTGGCTTTGTCCGGCTTCCGAGACCTGAGACGTGGAGCGATCCTGAGGACCCCAACGGGCAAGATCCAGAAGCAGGCCGACCCGGTCGAGCACCGGTGGCGCGGAGCTCAACCGCTCCGCTCCCGAGGATTCGACCCGCTCCCCGTCTGGCCTGGTGTTGCGAACCGTCGAGTCAATGATGCTCAACGCCCATCGCGTGTTTTCCATGAATCCGGTAGGCAGGAACATGCAGGAACTGTAGCCGCAGTCATTTCAGGTGATGAGACAGGCTCTGAGGACAGGTGATGGCAGAACTTGGTAGAACCAAGAACGTGTTTAGGCAAAGGAGAAAACACTGTCTCTCCGCACAGACTTCTTTTCCTGTGCCCGCATCAAAAGTACATCCTTTAATTCTGTGCATGTGCTTATCTTTGCATCAAACTTGCCAAAGCTGCCAAAGCTGATTGATACTCCCATTTACTCCCATTTGCGAATGAAGCAGTGTAATATACGTAAACTTCGGACAAGAAGTGTTTTCACGGCGTGTTTGTTATACTCCGGACGTGAAAAAAGCGCAGATTGCAGGTGCTGAGACAAAAAGCCAAAGACTTGGACAAGAAGTCCTTCACCATCGTTTCCGCCGACGATGCAGCTTGGTCTACGGTCGAGACGACCCGACCGAGGGGACCGAACCGTGTGGGATTTTTTCCACAAATGGTGGTGAACCCGCTTACGGGGTATGGACGAGACCATCGTCAGTGTACACAGGTGTTCTGTGATTTTTTTTGTCCAGGTCCAGTTTTTTGTTGGTTTCTGTCTCGTCTTTTGTTTCAGCTTTGTTTGGGTGGTTCCACAATTCAACAATATGTCGGCTGCGGGGGGGAGGAGGGGTAAGAAGGGAGAACTGTCCCAACGAGAGGCTTTGAGTTTGGAGAGCTCTTCGCTCATGGGAAATTGGGAAAGATATGTGAAGTATTGTAAAATTGTGTGGGTGTTGTATCATGGATTAAAGTGAAATATAATGCAATTAGTTCAACCATGTTCAACCTGAACCAAGAAGGAAGAGTCAGACGCGTACAAACTACTGTAATCTTTGCCCATGTACCTCTAAAACAATATGTCTTCAAGTTTGCCAGCTGCAAAATGCCTGGAACTGCTGTACACCACCGTCCACCATATGCTTTGTTTCCGTTGGCATGCACAAACTCAAACAAACATAGTCCCATTGAGGTCAATATAGATCAATTGCAGGACTGAGTATTTCACTCTTCTTACCATCTCCATAGCCTGACGCCACGATGTATGTCGTATGATCGGACCAGCTGAACGACTAGTCGACCAGCGTCCGGTTGCTCGTCGACCAGCTCGTCGACCAGCTCGCCGGACAGTCGAGGCTGCAAAGTCCAAGCTATGATGCAGGAGGAGTCCAGGAGAGTGCTGTGATGCGGGATCTCAGGGTTTTCTGTTGGACAGATTTGTCAAAGAGTAGATTATGATTATAGTAGAGTAGATAGAAGGAATGGTTTAGAGTCTCCACCTGTCCGACATGTTTGTTGACAATAAGATTGAATTGCATTTTGTCTCCACTTGAAACATTGGCAAGCCACACAACAACTCCCTGCCGCGCCTGTGGGGAAGGCTGAAACCTGGCCAAGCATTCTGACAGTTTGCTCACGGCTGTCCAAAGGGTTGTCCTGGAATCAACATCAACATCTGGCAAGCCGGAAAGGGTCACAGAGCGAAGAGCCACCGATCATCCGAAGTCTGACATTGCCGCTGCTTTGTAGAGGAACCGTTTTCAGATCCGTGTTCAGCGGTGGGCCTGGGATGTCCTTCTCGCTCCATTGCGAGGAGAGAGAAGTTTGCTCAACTGGTGCCCTGGCGTACTTCTCAAGTCCTCACTCATCGAAGTTATTATGATATCGTATGTATATGTATGTATACTTCTGAATTACTTATATGCTTTGCGGTTGTTGAAGGATCACCACCTCACTACAAAGATATCACTACATCCAACAATATGCTGCATTTTTCAGGCTGCCAATGCCACAGAACACTTTAAACGCGTTGCATGGTTTGTGTCCTGGTATTGCCGTATACCTATCAAATGTAGGTCGCCCAGAGGCCCAGAGGTGAAATCTTTGATTTTGAGCGGAATGCCAACAAACAATTCTCCAGTACACATGAAAACAAACAACTTGTTTATTGATGTAAGCTATATAGTAGAGTAAGAAGGCAGAAGGCACAGCTCCTTTGCACCAGTTAGCGGAAGATGCTTGCTACTGGGCCAAGCAGGTCCTGGTCATTGGGACGCCAGACAAGATCTTCACCTCCCAGCGGGATCATTTGAACCTACAGCTTTTGAAAGGAACTCGACAGGCTCCGGACCATCTTAGTGGAGGGTGGGTCACAGAAAGGAGCTGCGGCAGGAAGTTGATCGGACTGTGAAGAGTGGGAAGATGACGAGTGTATGTTTCAATAAGTTCCTTCAGATCAGCAACATGTGGTTTTGCCTACATCTGGGCCCTTGCGATGCACTAGGATGTGGCCTGTCTGGGGATTTTCAATTCATCGCCAGTTTTGCTGCTTTGAAACTGGTACAGCAAGTACCCAGGACAAGGCACCAAGCTGCCAGCTCGTGACCAGTGTTGCAGTGGCAACCGGACAATTTAGCAGAGTGAGAGATGATGCTGTTTGGCACAACAACTGACATAATTGACTGCTTTCATGTTTCTTTTGCATCAATCTTGAGACACACGCCGTCAAAAACGTTTTCCCGGCCTCCATCTACATCTTGTTTCTCAAATGATTGTGACTCCAGTTGAAAGCCGTTGCCTGAAGCAGCATGGTCCACGACATAGTTTCCAAGGCAGGTTTCATGCTTGCGGCGCCCAGAAAAAGGAATTGGAGTGCCGTTTTTCGTATTGGCCATTTGGTGGACCAGACATTGGCTTGGAAGGACTACCGAGATCGAAGATATCAACCTACTGCATCTTCAGAAGTATTTTCTTTTAATAAATAGTATTTTTTTTGTTACAGAGCTGGAAGTAGAGAGATCGCTTTATGAGCATACCAGAGACGTTGACAATGTCTGCTCACGTCCTCACAGGTTGTGAAGGGATGCCAGTGGATAGTGATGGCTATCCCTACCAGTCTGAAGCTTAGCGAAGCTCGCTGCTGCCCTTGACGGGCCGTGTGAGCTGCCTTACCTTGGTTGCTCAGTTTGGGGAATTCGCTGGGGTCTGGAAGCTGCGCTCCACACTGACCAAATAGACGTTCGCAGAAGCAGCAAGAAAGTCAACTGATCCCATATATGAGGGTATTGAGCCATAGCCGTTGAATGCCGTTTAGATACATTCAGGCCAGGCACCCTGCCAATGACACGGGTCCTGGTAAGAAGATGTGTTGACTAAGGTCAAGCACACCAACATGATTTGCTTGTTGTGCTGCATATATATAATTATATATATATATTTATATTAATATTAATGGGATATATCATGATGTACTGGGAAAAAGCTCGTAGAGTTGCTCCAGACACAATTTCTACAATACACTCCATTGCTGGATCAAGAAGAACCAGGGATACAGTTACTTGGGATACATCGCAACGTGAAACACTGGAAGCCAAGTTTAATTATCCTTGCATAGTTCCTGTGTTCCTTCGTGACCTTGGCTCGCGGCACTTACCAGACATGGATCAAAGAAACGTTTGGATGAGGACCCGACTGGTTGATCCGTCGTCCATTTCTGAGTTGTTCCATTTGAGCCGAGGCCCACTCCCACACTTGTCACTGGCTTCAGGGGGCAAGTCGCGTGCTCAGAATGATCACAGTCACACTCATTCGCACCCATTGGCATGCGCACAATCCTTGTTCATCAACAAGTCTGACCGCTCATCAGAGACTCTTAATTTGCACCGATCCTGATGGTATAGCAACCACCCTTTGTTGCCCTATCTTCACCGTGACGGTGATGGGTTGCATGACAGCAGTGGGCCACTCTCGCTGCTTCGAACCAAAGCAGTGGCTGTTTCGGTTGGGCATTTCCCAACCTCGCAGGACCCCAGCCCCGACACAGCTAGCGTAGGCGTAAGCGGTTGCGGTCCAGTGCCAAAGGCCAAACGGGCCAGTTGTGGCCCGAAACAACAAGGCAGAAACATGGTTAACAGAAATTGTAAAGCTGACGTGTGGATCAAAACCCTCACCCTCTAAAAAATCTAAAAATGAACGGAAGAGGCTACTTCACCTCTGCCTATATCCAGCATTCAGTGGTCGCAGCAAGCTTTGCTCTTGGTCATAATCTCGTATCCGATGCAGTGGGAAATAGGGTATCCAACTCATTGTAACTTACAACATAGTCTTTTCAGGTTTGCTGGCATACCAGCTTACAGTGACTCTCCACCCAAAGTCGTTATAACCATGTGTCTCTCCCAGTGCATCCACTTGGTCCACAGACAGCGTTTTGAGGCAGTGTTGAAGGTGGCGTGCGGTGGAGTGCGGAAGCTGAGGGGGCTTCAACGCCCGGGCGACCGGATCACCGCACCTGGTGGCGAAAGTCCGACATCTCCAGGTGGTGATGCATCCAGAAAGCAAGGGTAGATCTTCATCCTGAATATCGATTTGACCTCACCATCCATGGGTTTTGGCCATGTTGAGCATTGCTGGATGAGAGCAACAGCTGGGTATCCCAGGCACATGACCATTTGAGGTTGCCATGACCATTTTCGCTGCGAGTGATGTCACAGGATACTTGGAGTATATTTGTTCTGGAACATGTATACCGTACTGTACATCGTTTTGCCCCGATGCAGCTGCACCTGTTGTTGGCGGACAAGTTGGCAGGCAGTTTTGACTCTAGCGCAATAGAAGCAGAGTATTTGTTCAGGGGCCCAATTATGTGTTCAGTTCAATGAGTTCTATAGTCACCATGAGAGCCAGCAGAAGTTTTGATGCAGCAGCGGTGAATGATGGTAGGGTGAATTCATTTGGGTGCATGGCAGACGAAGCCCCAGTGTCTACAGTATGTAGTATTTCAACCAAGGGTGCTCCCCTTGAGTTGTTTTCAACCATGAAATGACGGCTTCTCTTTGCTGAAGGTGGCTGGATCCTCCAGCTAGACACCCCAAGCACAAAACATCACAAAACCTTTAAACGGAGCTGCTCACAGGAATGACCAACCAACTATGTTTCTTGGTGTTCTTGTTTAGGGCTCAAGATCGCTAGAGCTTTCAGTTCTAGATCCACTTGTTGCCCCAGTCGTCAATTCGACGACGATAGCCATATCCTCACGCCCCCGCAGCCCTGTCTGGCATCGCTTGCTTAGACGGAGAAGATCTCGGGCCAGGAAATTCTTGCGGCGACTCAAGAGCTGCAAAAGGCTGACAAGAAAAACAAAGGACAGAGTCAAGGTCCGAAAGCAGCTGCTCGAGAAGCACCACTCGAAGCCACGATACGTGATCCCATTGCTGAGTGCGATGACATGGAAGAACAAGGGACAGAACAGTGGCCGATGGAGCAACTGGAGTGGAGACTGGAAGACGACAGACAAGTCCGACAAGAAGAAAAAGGAAGAGCCACAAGGAAAAGGCAAAGCAAATGCAGGACAAGTGACGATCCTAGCATACGATGGCCGCAGAGTTGTGGTGCCAGAAGGTGGTGGCAACGGTGGTTCGTCATCGGCATCATCATCTGGGCTACAGGAAGAGAATCGACGCTTGAAAGAAGCGTTCCGATCCATCCTAGATGGCACGGCAGACGAGAAGACGGAGGACGAGGTACGGGGACTCATTGCGACAGATCCCCGCGAAGCCTTACGCCAGCAACAGAAGGAGCTCAACAAGCAGAAGAAAGCTCTCACCAAGGCGGAGAAAGTTCGTGCTACTATGGAGGAGAAATCGGCCAAATGGGCTCGATGGAAGACAGGCTATATGAAGGGCCTGGAGATGGAAGAGCAGCGATACAAAGAAGAGATGAAAGAGCTCGAAGCCGAACTCAAAGAAGTAGAGAAAGAGAAGGAGAAAGAAAAGGATGGGACCATGGATCTCGATTCCGATGGTCACGAAGACGACTACAAGAGGAGTGTCGACGACGAGCTGAAGACCTTCCGTCAGCAAATGGTACAGATGTCATCCTACGTCCAGTTGATGGAGCAGAGGAATCAAGACCTGACCACTCAGATGCAGCAGTTGATCACTGCAGTGAGAGATGTCAAGCCGACAGAGCTGACAAGGGAATCACCGCAAGTGGTCAAGCCGCCAACAATGGCGAGGCTGGATGGAGAAGACAGCCAAGACGAAGCGAAGGGAGAGAAAAGATCAAGATCGCGGTCCAGAACGCCTCGAGCTTTCGAACTCGAACTCCCGAGCCATTTGGCTCCGGAGGCAGAAGGATTCCTTCCTCTCATTCAAGGAATGGCAGAAGAGACTCAGGATCAGATGCTGGCAATTCTCAAGGCGGAACCCGAGAATTTTCAGAACTCGGAACAAGTCAAGCAGCTGATTCATGTGATGACTGTGCAACAATGTGCTGCACAGATCGAAGTCAAGGAGGGAGGGAGCGACTCGAGCGACCCAGTCTTGCAGATGAAAGCCAATCAGATCAATGTGTTGAAGCCATTTGGGATGCCAAGGGAGCGCAAAGCTGTGAAAAGGGGAGCACTTCCCCTACCAGCGCCCAACAGATCGGTGACGCCCAAGAATGGCACAGAGAGGGCAAAGGAACTCAACGGGATGTCGTGAGACGCTGCCCTATGAACACTTCTGGATTGGGGAAGCCTGAAGTAGTTTCTGTTTCACCTTTTCACTTAGAACAGCATTCATGCGCCCAATTTAAAGGCTGCAGAAATGCTAAGTTTTGCCAGTTTTGGAATTTTAGTTCCTTGGAGTACGAGAGCACTTCTTATGGTGATAGCCTGTTTAATCAGGAATGCCGTTCGACCTCGGAAGCCACGGAGCTGAGTGACCTTGATGCTCGTAGGCCCTTTCGTTCTTGGGGCCCTGATTGGTCAACGATACAGCTTGGTAGAGAGCTCATTGAATACCTTTGTGTTTCAGGCTCTGTGTTTCATGGTAAGAGCGATGAGGCTGAGGCCAAGGGTTGGTTGTTGCCCGGAATTGAGGACTGCATTTGTAGGACCCTTTCTCTTGAATGGCTTGTCACTGTTCATAGAGCCTTTTCCGCTTGGGTTGCTGCAGTTCTTTGGTTGTTATGTCTCCAGGGCTTTGCTGTTTGCTGGAGCCTGACGGTTGCATATGCTGCCTCGTGCTTTTATGCATTGGGTACAGATATATTTCGGAATAGGATGTGCAAAAGAATCGGTCTAAGTAATTGGCCGCCGTTTGAACGATTTCTCATCGGAGCAGCTTCCATGACTAGTAGTCTCTGCCTTACTGCTCTTCCACTTGAGCTGCTCGAGGCCGACACGGAGGCAGGACCGAGTCTCATGATGCATGCAGTGATGATCTTTTGCAAGATCCAATTTGGGGGCCTTGTAGGATTAGGTCTTTGTCTGTTCCTCAAATGCCGAAGCAGATGCTCCCAACGCATGTCCCCTGCTCGCTTCTGTGGAGCACAGAGAGCACGTCCAAAGTTCCAACGAAAGAAAAGCATCTCCATTAAGATGCTGATTATTGTGGCCCAGATCCTTTCGGCTGAGGCCATTGCTGTGGCTGAACGATCGAGTAGTTCTGCATATGAGAATCGATCAGGACAGCTGTTCTCTTCGCCTTGTGGAACCTGTCCTAAACCTGCTGATTATGACTATCAGACAGAAGGCCTTGCAGATCTTGGTTCACTCCCTCAGGGTCCGAGTGTCAAGCCTGCAGCTCCACTCCGGTGTCGAGCTAATTCGACAGCATTCGTAGACACGTTACATGAACGCCTCGATGTTGTAGATGCCAGTTTTGACTCACATTTTGATGGTTTGTCTACACACGATGACCATACCAGTGAGGAATGTCACGAACTTGAACATGATCCGCAAATCCTGATGCAGGTGCCAGCGCCAATTCTTGACATGATTGCCACATACATCCTGAGAGCCTGTGAGGGACGAGAGCTGTGCCGAGTTGCTACGTGGTATCATTCGATGGAAAGGATTGGTGATCTGCAACAAGTTTTGCGTGAAACGATATATAGCGATGCTTTCCCTGCTGGACCATCCTACCGTGGAGTTTGGGCTGATCTGCTGGGAAGACAGACGGGATACCTCTTCTCTGTTCACCCACTGCCCATTGGTGAATATGGTGCCACTCCTAATGTCATTGTGATGCCAGTGCAAGGAGAGCATCTTATTCCGACATTGGTTGATCTAAGAGAAGACCAAACCTTTACCAGAGGCACTTTTGTTTTTACTGCGAGCAGGATCTTGACAGCTTCCCAAATTTTTGCACAAGTCCAGCCAGGACTTGACTGCATTTGGACAGCCGATTGCTATATCACAACAGGACCATATGATGCAGAGACAACATATACTTGGTACACGTCTGTCCCACTCACTGAAGGACAGTATCTAAGGCTGAGGGTTGTCTATCGAGGCGAAGAAATGGTTACTACATGTAGCGGTGACAATAGTGCTTCAATACCGACTTCTGAGAGCGATACTAGTGGCAGTGCTGTTATAGCTGATCTTGGAGGGACCCTCTATCAAGAGGAAAGTGTGGCTGCTGGTGGGCGCCAAACGGAGGGGTCCGGTGGCTCACACCCCTCGGCCACCGAGCAGACTGATAGCACACCGACTTCCGAAGAGTCTGAGGCTAGCAGTACTATGCAGCTGATATACCAACGACAGAGATTCCAACCGACGAGGCCATTTCATGGTTCCTGCTTGCTTTCTGTACAGAGAGACGATCTCCTTCGACAGTACTACTATGACAATGTAGTAGTGACACCCCCTGACACGTATATGAGCCAGGTTTGGGTTCTACCCGAGATCAACCAATTAGCAGACATCCCGATTACCCTCTTTCGAGGGAATGACAGAAGGCAAATGTCAATTCAAGCGTCTGCTGTTTGGAGAGGACATGATGGTGTGGGCATTGGGCAGGCTATTCTGTGTCACCCACGACCCAGGAAAATTATGTCAACACAAGTTCCAACGCATCATCTCCTTCTGACTCCCTTGTATGTTGACCGATCAGGAACAACAGGTTTGCTCCTCGATGTATATTTAGAACATGCTGCAAACAGTCAACCCCAGGAAAGAGTTGCCCTTCTGGCCAGACAAGCAACTGTTCGAGGCTTGTTACGCATTTTGGGCTACTCACAGTACAATGAAGCGACTTTGATCTATCGTGACCAAATGCGAGAAATCCGATTTGGAACTGATGAAACTGTTGACCTCCCAACAGGGTCCTATGTCCATCTCTATCTCAATGTCCCAGATGATCAATGCGGTACTGATTTTCCTGACGCTGTGACATTGTTCCAATTCGGGCATCCTTACCAAATGCGGGACAGTCTGGCCTCAACACAAGGGCGAAATTTTTTGTCACGAA